ACAAAGTCATAACAAACGGTGTGTGTGTGTGTGTGTGTGTGTGTGTGTGTGTTATAGTGTTCATGTGTATCAGGAAAACAGATTGCCTTTGCCGTGCTTACATCTGCCTTAAAGACATGTCATTACAGATCACATCACACACACACACACACATGCATACACACAAAAAAAACACACAGGCACATACAAATATGCACATGCACACGCACACACACACACATATGCATACACACTATAAAAAACTCACATGCATACACAAAAAAACACAAACACATGCATATGCATGCCCACACACCCACTCACACACAAACAAACACATGTATACACACACCCACACACACAAAAACACACATACACACACACATGCATACGCACACCCATACACAGACAAACACACACACACACATACATGCATACACACTCACAAATACACACACATGGATAGGTACACCCAGACATACACAAACACAAGCATAAACACACTCATGCACATACTCACACACACATGCATATGCACACCCATACAAAAACACACACACAGACGCACACGCACACACGCGCACAAACACACACACACACACACACACATGCACATTTATTCACAGCCACGCACACAAAAACACACATACACATGCATACACACACTCATGCACATACTCACACACATGCATATGCACACCCATACACAAACACAAACACACACACACACACACGCACACGCACACACACACATGCACAAATTTATTCACAGCCACGCACACAAAAACACACACACATGCATACACACACTCATGCACATACTCACACACACATGCATATGCACACCCATACACAAACACACACACACACACACGCACGCACGCACGCACACACACACACACACATGCACATTTATTCACAGCCAAGCACACAAAAACACACACACGTGCATACACACACTCATGCACATACTCACGCACACACACACACATGCACATTTATTCACAGCCAAGCACACAAAAACACACACACGTGCATACACACACTCATGCACATACTCACACACACACACACACACACACACACGCACACACACACACATGCACATTTATTCACAGCCACGCACACAAAAACACACACACATGCATACACACACTCATGCACATACTCACACACACATGCATATGCACACCCATACACAAACACACACACACACACACACACGCACGCACGCACGCACACACACACACATGCACATTTATTCACAGCCAAGCACACAAAAACACACACACGTGCATACACACACTCATGCACATACTCACACACACACACACACACACGCACACACACACATGCACATTTATTCACAGCCACGCACACAAAAACACACACACATGCATACACACACTCATGCACATACTCACACACACATGCATATGCACACCCATACACAAACAAACACACAAACACACACACACGCACACACGCGCACACACACACACACATGCACATTTATTCACAGCCACGCACACAAAAACACACACACACACATGCATACACACACACACACACACACACAGTGGTGTGGAATGTCAGTATGTCATAAAGCTCAGCAGGAATGTGTGATGAGTGCTGAAATGACAGAGCGCAGCAGCAACAGCTCATCAGAGTGAACGAGCGCGGTAAACACAACACTTTCATCTGGACCACGAGAGAACGACAGAGCCAGAGATCAACACCATAAAACTCAGACAATAAACATGATGAAGACGTGAAGCGCACTCTCACACACACACACACACACACACACACACACACACACACTTCACTACACACGCACACACACACTCAAACAAATATACATTCAATGGCGTGTAAATCACTCTGGATAACAGCATCTGCCAAAAGCATGAAAATAAATGAATGAGTGTGTGTGGGTGTTTCCCAGTACTGGGTTGCAGTTGCAGTGTTTTCCTTCGGCTTTTCCCTTTATTAATCAGGGGTCGCCACAGTGGAATGAGCTGCCAACTTAATCTGCATATGCTTTACACAGCGGATGCCCTTCCAGCTGCAACCCATCACTGGGAAACACTCATACACACTCATTTACACTCATACACAACAGCCAGTTTAGTTGATCAATCCCTCGATAGCGCATGTGTTTGGACTGTGGGGGAAACTGTAGAACATGGAGGAAACCCACGACAGCACGGGGAGAACATGCAAACTCCTCATATAATCACCTATTGACCCACCCTTCAGCTCATATTGAAATGTAATGGATTTAAAGTTATGAACGCAACAATATGGTTAAGGTAGGTTATAAGTACAAAGGAAATCACAACTAACCATATGATTTTGAACCTCACTTTGCCAGTTTTGTTGTGACCAATTAAATTGTGTATGTCATAAGGGAAAACATAGATTGCTCTTGTAATCTTAGATTTAAATCTAAAAATGCACTTCCTGTTTTTTTTCAATTCAATTGCAGAGGGTTGCTGAATAACTACAGAGAGATTTCAGCTGCTGTCTGAGCTTTCACTCCCTTTCTACACCTCCCTTTCTTCATGTGTTCAATACTTTTTTCTTTTTTTATTCTATTGCACATAACTTCATTTGTGATCTAATTAGTTTTTCAATTCAACAGCACCCTTTA